GTTTGTCCAATGCCGTCTGAGGGATGCTCAGTCTCATTGGTGATGAGGGAAATGCAAATGAAGACCACAACGAGATGCTATTTCACACCACTCTTAAGAGCAAAAATAGGCAACCCTGGCAGCACCAAGTGTTGGAGAAGAGGTGGAGCCACGGAATCTCCAGTGCGTTGCTAGTCAGACTGCAACTGATATAACCACCAGCCAGCGCTGGCGCACACACGATCTAGCCTTATCTCACAAAGCCGAGGCCCAGCATAATCAAGAGAAACTTTGGCATGTGCTCCAAGAGACAGCGACAAGAACTTTCAAAGCTGTCCTGGTTTGTTTTGTTTTGTTTTGTTTTGTTTATTTTTAAGAAGGAGGAAGAGGGAGAGAACAAGAGAGGGAAAGAAACATTGATGGGTTGCCTGGGACCAAACCCCCAAGCTAGGCATGTGCCCTGACCAGGAGTCCAACTGGCAAACTTTTGGTTCATGGGCAGCGCTCAACCACGCCAGCCGGGACTGTCCTGTTCTTAACAGCAAAAATCCAGAAGTAACCCAGGTGCCCTTGAGCCAGAAAATGGCTAAATAAATTACAGTGGATTCATTTACACAGCAGCACATCATTCAGCAGTGAATAAACTAGTTCCACAGAGTATCATGCATGAACCTTAGCACAATATTGTTGAATGAAAAAGCCTGGCCCAGAAGACAAATACCCTGTGATGTTCAAAACCAAGCCAAACCCAATGTTGGCGCCTACCTTTTAATAGTTTTGTTTTGAGGGAATGACGGGATTACCCCCCCGCCCCCACAAAAGACTCAAGAGTAAACTCAAGACTCAAGGATAATACTGATAAAGTATTACAACAAGTAAGAAAATGGGGTAAGAAAACAAGTAGTTGGGTTCTGTGCACTATCAGCAAGTCTTCAAAATATAATGGGGCCCTGACTGATGTGGCTCAGGTGGTTGGAGCATCAACCTGTGAAAGGAAAGGTTGAGGGTTCAATTCCCGGTCAAGACACATTGCTGGGTGGCGGGTTTGGCAACCGATCGATCTTTCTCTCTCACAACCTAGGCATGTGCCCTGACCAGGAATGGGACTAGTTACCTTGCAAGACGATGCCCAACCAAGCCATCCTGGTCAGAACATGCTTGTCTTTCTCTCCAGAAGCCCCCAGCGGGGTGGTGGTGGTGGTAGCGGAGGCCTATGTATACAGAGGACAAAACTATGGGCCCCAAAGACACACAACACTGAAGTCTTTCAGGCTGGACAGATCCATTAGGCTTCGGGGAACAGGCGGTCTTGTAAAACGGCTGGGTTTTAATCAGCAAAGATAGCAGAAGGAGGAAATCATGCCAGGCCTGCCAAGGATGGACTGGGAGTTGCAGAGGGGGTGGGAAAGGCAGAGAGGCTGGACAGGAAATAGTGAGGCTCGGCTGTACGTGGGCTGCCCGTGGAAGATTTGCTGATGGGTGGGGTTGGGAGGGAGAGGCCCTGTGGAGTTTCGAGGCATCATCTGTCCAGGGTTCAGGATTCATGGGCGAAAGCACCCCAGGAGCTCACGAAGGCGCTAAGGCTGCTCTGGAAAGAACAACTTGAGTGAGAGTTAGGGTCAGGGGTCCCAGAGGGTCAGGTCCGGCTCGGAGAGGTGGAGCCCGAGGCCTCTGTGGGAGCCGTGGGTTCTGGATGAGCACCTGCTTCTGCCTCTTTCCATCTGAGACCTTGGACAAGGCGTTCACCGCCCTGAGCCTCTGGTGCCTTTCTATGGGAGATCGCTGCCTGCCTGCAGACCCCCAGAGGCGGCCCTGGGAAGGCGAAAAACCCGCTCTGGCAGCAGCAGAAGTGTGCGTCCGCCCCAGCCGGGAGCCTCTAGCCCTGCGCTGCCGGTGGAGGGGGAGCGGTGTCAGAGCATCAGCAATGGCAGGCCGTGCTGGTCCCGTGGCCACTGCCTGCTCAGTAGGCCCAGCCACTCTCACCTGGGAATAGAAGGCTGGGGCATAGATGCTACGAAAGGCTGATCTTAGAGGTGCCTGACTCGGGAGCAACGCGTTCAAGTTAGAACCTGGGCAATCCAGCCAAGTCAAAGAAGTGGGTCTGCAGCCCCCGATCCCTCCTGGACACTCAGATCCCAGCAGCCAGTGTCCAGGCCCATCTTGCCCCCCTGAAACCTCCATCACTGAGACCTCCAAATGAACCGATCAGTGTGCTGAAAAAAGCTCCTCTGTGCTCACAAGCAGGGGAGAGAGGATGCCCTCCCCCCACCCCATGTCTTCATCTCTTTTTTTCATTGCTGTAATATTTTCTGTACACCCATGTAGTTATACCTATAAACAATATCTAACCCTTAAATAGAACTCCCATATGCCAGGTAAAGTTCTAAGGGCCTTATATATATTCACTCATTTAATCCTCACGACAATCTGATACAGTAATTCATTTTACAGATCAGGAAACTCAGGCATAGGGAGTTAAGTAATTTGCCCCAGGAGACCTACTACCAGAGTCTAGCTGTCTTAACCATAACCACAATCTAGAAGACATATATATACATACATATACACATACATACATACATATGTACATGCAGTCATGTGCTGCATAACATTTCAGTTAATGAGGGCCCATCCACATATGTGACGGTGGTATACCATACAGCTTAGATTTACACCGTCTAGGTTTGTTTAAATATACTCTATGATGTTTACACATATATGTGTATGTATTAGGTTTATATATAATTTTTTACATAAATGCATTGCAGAAATATGATTGTATACTTGTTTTAATATTTTTAAAATTTCCTTTTATATTTTTTCCTCCCTACACCATGGAATTCATGTTAACACCTTGAAGTGTGATCTTCTATATTTTTTATTTATAAGTCCATGTATACTCACCAGTATACATGGACTTATATATACGAATAACTATAATCACATGTATGTATATATATAATTATATATATGGTTCCTTTTGTCATTATTTTAAAATAGTGGTTTATATTAAGTAAATACACTTATGTCTCCTTCTCAGTTATACCTGGAAGCCCCTGGGAGATCTAATTCTTTTTATTTTTTTTAAGACCTTATTTATTTATTTTGAGAGAGAGGGGAAGGAAGGGAGAAAGAGAGGAAGAGAAATATCAATATGCAAGAAATACATTGATCAGTTCCCCCTCACATGTCCCCAGCCAGGGATCTGGCCGGCAACCCAGGCACGCGCCCTAACCAGGAATCAGCCCAGCGGCTTTTTGGTTCACAGGCCATCACTCCATCCACCGCCCACCACCGGGGCTGGCTCTGCCTCTAACAGTCACACTTTAGTCCACCCGCCAGGTCTTTCTACCTGGCCCTCCCACTCGTTATCTTCTAGAATCCCATCCTCAACCACAATGGGCTTATTTCTTTAATCCATTAGGGACTGTGATGGCGGAAATTTCAGGCTGGGTGAGAGGAAAGGCCAGCGAGAAAGCAACGAATGGCATTTCTGGCTGGGGCTTGCCTGTCCACTGGCTGGTACCCAGCAGCCCTCAGCCCCCAGAGACAGGAATGCTGACTGTGTTATTGTGAAATCATTTGTATATTGTGAAGTGCTTTGCATATGATGGAGTGATTTGCATACAGGGCAGAGGCTGTCTGAGAGATCCCAGAGCAGCATCCCTGAGAGTCGTTCTCCCTTTGCAAAGAATCCAACGCAGGGCTTCCACTTCAGAATTCAGGGAGGGGCACAGGAGGGCATCCTGGCCCACCTGTGGGCCTGGTCAGGTAAGGCAGACAGGGGGCTCTCAGAGGAAAACTGATCCCACCTGGTAGGAGCTGGGAGTCTAGACATTAGAGTGTGAGGTAGAACAGGGCATTGAGGACTGAGTGTGCCCTCAAAACCCCCAGAAGGGGACAGCGACTCAGCACAGATGAAGGGAGCTGTCATGGGAGGCCGATGAGGGTCAGAGGCTTGGAGAACCCCGCCTTCACAACCCCTGCCCAAGTAAGTACCCACATGGCCCTTCCTGAACAGTCTTCAGCTCTGGCTGATTCCCAGAGAAGGAGGCAAAGTGGAAACACAGAGCCAGACCCCTGCCCCCTGGAAGGGAGGCGCGATATCACAGGCTCAGGGTTCAGGGACACCCAGGTTTGAATCCTGGCTCTGCCATCGTGCTGTGGTTTCACCCTGGGCTCACACTGACCACCTCAATGGGCTAGAATGAGGATTCACATAGTAGGTGTTCAGTAAATCGCAGTTACAATAATAATGTTATTGTTGCTCTACTGGTCTAAGAGGTCAGGCCAACTTCCTCTAGGTGCGGGGAGCACAGAGCCCTTGCTCCCTCAGGTTTGGACTTCAGAGCAGCAGTGTCAAACCACCATGCATTGGACCCCAAAGGGTTACAAACTGGAGACAAAGGCCTGAGGTTCCCAGCGAAAAACCAAAGCATAAAAATAATTCGATGAGTAAGAATAAAATTCCCTCTTCTGAGGTTCCCGGGTCTAGGCCCCTCCCTGCGGCAGGCACTTCCCCTTTCCCTTGTTCATGGAGGAGCCTGGCCTGGCTGACTCAGAAGTGGACGCCCGCCCGCAGCCGTCCTCCCATTCGGGACTGGTCCGGCCAGCGGCGGGCTGCGAGTCTGGCAGTCGAGCGCGCCCCCGTGCGGCCTCGAGGAAGACTGCAGCCCGAGAGAAGAAGCGGAACCCAGACCCGCACGCCCAGCCGCCCAGCGGCTCGCGGTCCCTGCGGCACCACCGCCTTCGCCCAGCCCAGCCTGGCTGAGCGCGGTACCCACGGTTCTCCCACTTCCGCCCGGCCCTCCTCACCACCCCCGTGGCCGGGGCCCAGCGGAAGTGCGCTGGGCGTCCGGATCCCCCATGGCCGCGAAACGGAAGCGCTCCCGGACAGCCACTCCCCACAACACCGCGGCGCGCGGCGTGTCGGGTTCCGGACAGGTCCCGTGTGACGTGGCCGCGTGCTGGGGGCGGCTCCGGGCCGGGGGCCGGGCTGCGGGGCCGGGCGGGGCAGGCCTGGGGCGGGGCGCGGCGCCGCAGCTGGATGGCCGGGGCCGCCCGGAGCGCCACCGCCGCCGCAGCCGCACGGTGAGTGACCGCCAGACTTTCAGGGCCCGCGTCCCGGGCGAGATGGACCCGGCGATGCCCGAGACCCCGGCCCGCCTCTCCCTGGGCCGCCCTGGGCCTCTCGCCGAGCCCGGAGTTAAACTCCTTGGCTCTTCCCCCCCCGTCGCCCACGCGTGGCCCCCCACCCCTCCCTCGCTCTCCCCCTCCTCCTCTGCCTCTCCCACTATCTCCAGCTCTTTTTCCCTTGCCTCTGCCTCTTAATTTCTCCTTTCCTTCTCCTCTCTGACTCCGCACCCCCTTCCCCTCTCCTAAATCTGTCGTCCCCTCACTGCTACGTGACCCGCCTCGGCCTCCATGCCCGCCCTGGCCCTGTCCCGCCTCTGGACCCCAGTGGAGCCCAGGGAATTTCATCAGGGTCTCTCGTTTAAGCCTGGAGATCCTGAACGGGGACATCTTTTCCACCGCCAGAGGCAGCTGCTTCCCCTCCCTCCCACCTCTAGCAGCAGATGAGGAAACTGAGGCAGGGACATCTGCAGCTCAAGGTCACAGCCAGCACGAGGCAGGGCAGACCACATTTAAATCTCATGCCTGAGTTTCCAGATGGAACTTCTCCCTTGGTTGATTCACATCCTTGTCCTGTGGTGACCTGCTGGGTACATTCCTGCTGCCCAGTGCTGTGGGCCTCCGACAACACAAGAAGGGCTCTCTGTACCTCCTCCATGCCCGACACATTCACTGGCATTATCAGGCTCCTCTCATGTGCACAGCTGTGTGAGGGAGGCGACATTTATCTTCATTCTACAGAGAAGGAAACTGAGGCTTCGAGAGGGGGCTGCAGGGACCCGCAGTCAAACAGCTGGAAGTAACACAAAGTTAATGGCAGTGCTCTGAGCATCTCTGAGGCAGCTCCTAAGTGAAGGATGCTTTCTCTTCACTCCCACCCCCAGCTGTTTCTGTACCCCAGGGACATTGGGCTTGTTTCCTAGGAAGAAGCTCTAATGGTCCTGTCCTTGCTCAGCTGCTTGGCTTCCCCACCTGCACCTCCTAACGTTGTCCCATCAAGCTAGATAGTGCCAGCCTCAGTCCCTGCGATGTCCTCATCAGGGTGCATCCTGGCGGCAAAACCTCCCCTGGCAGCGAGAGACACCCGGCTGGGCCGGGCCTGCCGGTGGCTGAGGGGAACCCAGCCAGCGCCTCACCCTGTCATTAGGGAAAGTTTAGCCTCGGGCAGACGTGCTGACACACAGTCTGAAACTCGCCCAGAAGGAAAAAATGTGTGGTCCTTGGAGTGTGGAGAAGCAGGGAACCTTTGCTCTGGGCACCCGCCATTTGGATCTCCAGAGGCCGTGGGCCAGGCAAGCGGGAGAGCAGATGCCGGGACGTGGTGGATCGGGAAAGTGAAGATGCCATATTTCTTAAGCTGGTGTTCAGCTTAGGGTGGCAGCTCACGTAAGTGGCCTTTGTGTTTTTCAGCACCTGGCATGCCTGGATGTCCCTGCTCTGGCTGTGGCATGGCGGGCCAAAGGCTCCTCTTCCTCGCTGCTGTTGCCCTGGAGCTCCTGGGAGGGGCTGGGGGTTCCCAGCAGGCCCTCCGGAGCCGGGGGGCTGCAGCAGCCTGTCGCCTAGACAACAAGGAAAGCGAGTCCTGGGGGGCCCTGCTCAGCGGGGAGAGGCTGGACACCTGGATCTGCTCCCTCCTGGGCTCACTCATGGTGGGACTCAGCGGGGTCTTCCCGTTACTGGTCATTCCCCTGGAGATGGGGACCACGCTGCGCTCAGAAGGTGGGTGACCCTTCTCTGCACCCTGGGGCAGCCAGCAGCATGGGAAACATCCCAGCTTACGGTGTGACTGAGGAGGAGAGTGAGGGCAGAATATGATTTCTTGCCTTGGTCCTGTGAGACCAGGGTGCACACTGCTCATCTGTTCACTCATGTGTGTTCTTTTGTTCTGAAAGAGTAACTGTCAGCGAACACTCACCAAGAAGCAATATAGATAGTGGATAGAGATATGGATGCCAGAGGCCCGTGTTCAGATCTTGGCTCTGCCACTTCCCAGCTGGGTGCCATTGAGCAAGTTACTTAACTTCGCTCTGCCTCAGGCCAACGTTAAAAATGGGGGTAACAGTAGTGTCTACCTCATAGGTACTATTGTGACAATTAAGTGAACTCATATCAGCAAAGCACTGCCTGGAGCAGGGAAAAGGCTGTGTGTTTGCGGGCCCGGTGCTGGGTGTGAGGGTGCCGTGGCCAGCAACGCCCTGCCTTTCCCTGTGGTCTCTGTGCATAGTGCAGAGGAGCTCTCACACCAGAAGCCCCTGGGTCAGCCTTGCCCACGAACACACGAGAGGCTGGTCGCAGGCATGCCTCTGGGAAGGGGTCTGGGAGGCAGGGCACAGGCACGGGTGGAGGCTTTCCCTTGGCTACCCGTTTGCATGGTCTGCATGTGCCGTCTATCCACAAATGACATGTTGTAATGAATAGCCCACAAGGTCGGATGGGGAGCTGCTAACAATACAGGTGCCTTTCGCCCCCACCCAAGAGTGTGACGCAGTGAGTCTGAGAGGGCCCCAGGCGCTCATGCTCCCGGTCACTGGGCTGAGGGCTGCCACACAGGCTGCGGACAGAGGCGTCACTCCTGCGCATCAGCTCAACCCGTCTTGTGTGACCTGCGAGGTCAGAGTAGGGAGGATTTGGATGATTAGCTCCATTTGACAAATGGGGAAGCACAGGTACGGGGAGGTTCTCTGACCATCCTGAAGTCACACTGCCTCTGCCCTCTGGGCTTCAGTTTCTTTCAAACCGTTTGGATATGGCCCCCTTAGACACTTCCAGCTCTGGAAGCTGCAGGCTGGCAGAAGTCCCCAAATCTCTGTTACTTTGCTGAGAGCAACAGTGGTTGAGAAAAGAAAATTCCCATTTAATGAGTGCTTGCTCTGTGCATTGTCACTGGATTCCCACAAGATCTCTGTCAGATAGGTACCATTATCCCTAGTTTACAGAAGGGGAAACTGAGCCCCAGCAGTACTCTGCCCCAGGTCACCAGCTGGGGGGTTGAGCTGCTGGGGCCTTGAGCACGAGGCAGCAGTGGCTCACAGTCATCGGCGGTCTGGAGTATTCTGGGGAGCACCCAGCCCCTGCTGGGCCTGGGGGCGGGGACCAAGGAAGGGCAACAGCCCTTGTCTGGCCTCAGAGAGGCTGACGAGCTGGGTGGGACAACACAAAGAGCCATAAGCTGGGAGGGGCAGGGGTCGGCCGGGGCCCTGGTAGGCCAGCCCCCAGGCCCTGCATCCGTGCCTTGCAGCTGGGGCCCGGCGCCTGAAGCAGCTGCTCAGCTTTGCCCTGGGAGGGCTGTTGGGCAACGTGTTTCTCCACCTGCTGCCTGAGGCCTGGGCCTACACGTGCAGCTCCAGTCTTGGTGAGTGAGGTCACAGGCTGGGGGCAGGGGGTGGCGCTTGGGGGAGCTGGTCCCCATACCCAGCGCTGGCTGGGGCCCTGCCTGCTCTGCCGGAATGACTGGGAGAGGGGCTCTGGGCCTCTGGCAGGGAACTTGTCCTGGTCCCTGCAGCAGTCCCTGGGGTCCTGCTGCCCCACCAGCCAGTCCTGGCCCCCTGCCCCTGTCCCTGCCCCGGCCTAGGTCCCATTCCAGACGGCACCCCCTCTGTGGCCCTGGCTTGGCCTGGCCTGTCAGTGCTGCCCCTGCAGGTGGTGAGGGGCAGCGCCTGCAGCAGCAACAGCAGCTGGGGCTATGGGTCATCGCTGGCTTCCTGACCTTCCTGGCTTTGGAGAAGATGTTCCTGGACAGCAAGGACCAGGAGGGGACCAACCAGGTGAGCCTGAAACTCCAGCACCTGGGGACCGCAGTCTCCGTTTTGTGGTGGCGTCAGGGCTGGAGGCTCAGCTTCAGAGCTGAACCCTGAAAGAAGGGCCTCTTGGCCCTTTCCTGGGACCTCTGGAGGTGGGGCCAGCTTGCTGGGAGGGTCTGGGGAGGGACGGCGTCAGCCCCCGCTGCGGCCTGTTCTCGCAGACTGATAGCAACAGCAGTGTGGGAGGCAGGCTTTTGAGTTTGGGGGCCCCCAGCTGATTGAGCAACAGAGAAGTCCAGCCAGATAAAAGGGGAGGTCCCTGCCTGTTTCTCCACCTCTCGCTCCCCTTCTGCACCCACCCTGGCCACGTGGGGGGGCATCTAATGTCACTTCTCCCTCCTTCTCCTGGCCCTAGGCCCCCAGCAAAGACCCCGTTGTTGCTGCCGCCGCGCTCAATGGAGGCCACTCTCTGGCCCAGCCGGCTGCAGAGCCCGGCCTGAGCGCTGTGGTCCGGAGCATCAAAGTGAGTGGCCCGCTCAGGGCCCCCTCCTGCAGCCACCCCGCCCCGAGTGGCCGGCCCAGGTCAGCCCTGCCTGCCCCGTTCAGCCGGCTTTCTCCCCCTCTCGCAGGTCAGTGGCTATCTCAACCTGTTGGCCAACACCATAGACAACTTCACTCACGGGCTGGCTGTGGCTGCCAGCTTCCTTGTGAGCAAGAAGGTGAGTGGCGGTCGGGGCAGGTGGGACCCAGGCGGTTCCAGTGCAAACGATGGTGTTCGTGTTGACCAGTTGGCTCTACCTCCAAAATAGGCCTCCAGCCCATCCCTCGCTGCCCCCTGTGTCGGCAGCGCCCCTGTCTGAGCCCCTAGTCTTCCCCACCACTCTCCTGGACACGGCCTTCTTTTGTCCCGAGCCACTGGCCTGTTCTCCTTGGTGTGAACACTTCTTGTTGGGACAACGGGCCTCTGCCAGGCAACTTCTGTAGGCTTCTCCCCCACCTTCTTCCTCTGCCCTCTGTCTGCCTACTATTGGACACCCAAGCTCTTTCCTTCTTCCTGGCCTCACCTCACACTGCGCCATCTGCCCGAGTGTTCTTCCTCCCACTCTGAACGGCCGGCTTCTCAGCCTTTTGGCCTTGGCCTAAAGGCACTTCCTCAAAGAGGCCTTTGCTGACCCCTCGTCTAATGAGGCCCCCAGTCCCACCATCCTGCACAGCAGCTGTCACAGCGTGTGTGATCACACGGTTCTTTGCATGTGTGCTCAATGCTGGCCTCCCTCCTCCAGACTGTTAGCTTCATGGGGGCAGGTTGATTGCTGGATTTCTAGTCGCCAAATGGTGGCCAGCCAGAGCAGAGCAAATAGAGGTAGACCGAGGGGACAAGTGGGTGCCCTGGCCCTCGGCACAGACCCCACAGACTCCCCTTCCTGCAGATTGGGCTCCTGACCACCATGGCCATCCTCCTGCACGAGATCCCTCATGAAGTGAGTTCCAGAGGGTCCCACGGGTCAGCTTTGGGGGCCTGGAGCTGGGGCGTGGGGCACTGGGATGGGGCTGCCTTGCAGCGGCAGCTCAGGGGCTGGACGTGGGAGGCATGGAGCTACTCGGCCCCTCAGGCTGCAGCCTCCCCAGGCCTGGGGTGCTAGCCAAGGGCACGTGGGCTGGGGACCAACAGAAGGCCCTTGCGGGGGGCTTGATGTGTGTGTCTCTAGACCGGAGGCCCACAGGGTCTGGGCCTGCTGGGGCCCAGAGTGATCGTCTGGACCTCCCCTCAGGTGGGCGACTTTGCCATCCTGCTCCGGGCCGGCTTTGACCGATGGAGCGCAGCCAAGCTGCAGCTCTCGACGGCACTGGGGGGCCTGCTGGGGGCCTGCTTCGCCATCTGCACACAGTCCCCCAAGGGAGTAGGTACGGGAGTGGTGAGTGGGGGCAGGCAGGTGGTGGTCAGCAGAGGGGCCCCAGCCCAGGGCACGGCTGCTCCCCCCAAAGTCCAGGCTGGGTTCTGCCCCTGGTCCCACCCTGTGGGAGAGGTGGGGCGCACACAGTTCCCTGGGCTCCCAGCCAGTGGACCCTCTCCCACTGCAGAGGAGACTGTGGCCTGGATCCTGCCCTTCACCTCTGGTGGCTTCCTCTACATCGCCCTCGTGAACGTGCTGCCCGACCTCTTGGAGGAAGATGACCCATGGTGAGTGGCCCACTGGGACTGACACTCACTCATGGGACACGTAGGGGCTCTTCCCCTTCCACCTCGTCCCATAAGGCCCCTTGAGCCCTGAACCCTCCCCCCACAGGCACTCCCTGCAGCAAGTGCTTCTCCTCTGCGCGGGGATCCTGGTGATGGTGCTGTTCTCGCTCTTCGTGGAGTAACGTCTCTGGTGCCCCACCCCCCACACAGCAATAAGAGACTCGGATTTACCCTGTGACCGTGTGCGAGGCAGAGGGGGCGAGTGTGAGAGCCAGCGAGCCTCCCAACAGACCAGAGGGTGTGTGTGTGTGTGTGTGTGTGTGTGTGTGTGTGGTGTGCACGTGTGAACACCGGTGTGTGAGACCGACACTGTGATCCCTCCGGCCCGGGGCCCGCGCCTGCCCCCCAGCCGCACTGCGCCCCTCTCCTTGCCACCCTGTCATCCTGCACCTCCCAGAGCAGGCAGCAAAGGAATAGCAGCGCTGCACCCTCGCAGCGGCCTCGCCCCACCAGGAGCCCCAGAGCTGGCGCCTGCGGGGGGCGCCGTAGGTCCCTGGCTGAGAGAGTAAACCTCTGCTCACGCACCCACCCTGGGCAGAAGTCGGGCAACTTCCCTGCTGCATCCATCGGCCTGGCCCTTCCTTTGCCAGCTCTAAGGCCAAAGAAAGGCGAAGCGGCACCCCTGCAGACCCCAGCCCCACTCAGCACTGACACTCAGCCCTCCCAGCACAGAGGTGGGAGGTGCTTTCCAAGGCCTTCCTCCTGGCCGCCCGCCCTGGGCCGGCTTCTGCCGCTGGTGAATGCTCCCTCGCTGCGCCAGCAGCCCTTGCCACTTCCAGCTGCCAAACAGCAGCAGGCAGGGCAGCCAGCAGCCCCGGGCCAGAGAGGCCTCCCGGTCCAGCTCAGGGACGCCTGTGCCAGCCCAAGGTCCAGGCGGATATTCCAAGGGCAGGAAGAGAGTGGCTCGTGGCTGCCCCTCCTTGCACGGGCCCCTTTTCCTGCCCCACTGAGGAGGGGTCAGCTGGGGGTGGCGCAGACCCCATGTCGTCAGCGCTCAGGAATGTGCTCCGGGAGAACGCTGAAGCCATAATCCCCAGTTATTTCCCTTGGCTGGCGCCCAGGTACTCAGCTGGCCACTCCACAGCCAGGCCCCAGCCCTGCTGCTCGACTGGACGTTCTCAGAAGTGGCCATTAAGACAGTCTGAATGGTTTTACAGCAGTTTTGCTGTGGTTCTGTTTGTATCTGTAAATACCTGTTCTATATATAAGATGCAAATAAAGATTATACAGACGTGCTGCCTCTGTTCTGCACACCATCACCCACAGTCGAGCAGGGCTCTTACGGGCACCTGTGCCCCAGCCAGGCCGGCGGCTCCATGGCCCCGGCTGCCTGCCAGCCTCCACTTGCCCCCACCTTCCACCCTTCTGCCTTGTGCTCGTCTCTGAACTGCCACCCTGCAGTGCTCCACTGAACAGGACAGCATTTCATGTTTCATGCGCTGTGCATTGTAGCCCACAGCTCCCCCGAGGGTGGTGCCCTCATTATACAGGCCCATGAGCCAGCAGCCTTTTCTCATTCTGAGTAACTTAATCAGCAAAGGGACCTCCATCCACAAAGGCATCTGCAGGTTTAGCCTCAATGAAATTATTTTTCATTAAAAAGGAAAGAAAATACAGATCCTTCAAAACCACACCCTCCCCACCTCTGACTGCTGTGTAAGGACAGGACCAGGCACGGGGGGGGGGGGGCGCGCTGCTTCCCCACAGTGCGCTCAGGAGAAAGAAGGGGAAGCGGAGTCCCACCTACCCTTTCCAAGCAAGCCACGCAGCTGCCAGTAGCCTGTTGGCTGAGAGAGTCTGCACGGCATCACTGAGTCCAGTACGGGGGCAGCACCCTCAGCCTGGTTGAGTCATCCTTTTCAGCAAAGGCAGCGACCTGCTGCACCTGAGGTGCCCAGGATCTGATGGGTCTGCACCTCATCTGTCAAGGAAGGAACCCAGGGCTCTGGCCGGCCCCCACCCTCCCCTTGGCAGCGCTGGGGCTGCTGCATTGAGCCCCAGGTGGTGCCTGCAGGTTTACTAGGACGCCAGGGCCAGGTGAGCGCCCCAAGTGGTTATGAGGGGGAGTGCAGGACCTGGGTGGCTGGGCCTAGAACCAGAAGCACTTGGGAGGCTCCACTGGGCTCCTCAGCTAAAGGATGGGGAGTCAATGGGACTGCCGTTAACTCTGGAAGGCCATTCAGGGGGGCTTTCAAAGGACATGGGGTCTGCCAGCAAGTGGGGCTGACGGCAGAGCCGTGTTCGCGAACACAGCATAACGAAAGGTTAGGCCTAGAAAGCCTCTCACAGTGGGTCCTGCTTAAGGTTCCCTTTTCAGCCAGAGGAAATGGACCAAAAGAGACAAGGGAGCCTGTGGGGAAACAGGAGACTCGGGCCTGGAAACAAAGGAGTTTCAAGGGGAAAAGACCCAGAGCCTGGCTTTCCAAGGAAGCAAGGCTGAGGGCCAGAGCACCAAAGTTCGAAAAGAAGGGGAAGGCTGGCTCTGTGTAGGGCCCTCCTTCTTGAGCTGCAGCGCCACAACCTCTGAGCTCAGCGAGGTGGGGCGGGCGTGGTGGTGGGGGTGCTGGAGGAACAAGGTGGGAGAGGCCGGAAGACAGAGGACAGCTGCAGCAGCTCACGCCCCGCCCCCCGCCAGCTCAAGTCCTCGCCCAGACGACTGGATGAGGGCCCACAGCTGTCTTGAGCTTCCAGGCAGCAGCAGCCCTTGGCGAAGGTTCTCGTGCAAGCACCCCCGCTCTTCCAGAGGCCAGGGAAGGTGAGACAGACAGGTGACAGGGACCTGAGCCATCTTTTATTGGGAATTTTAACCAGGGAGGGACCAGAGAGAGGTGGCGGGCGACCCCTAGGCGTAGTACTGCAAGTTGGCTTTCTTCTTGGCCTGCACCTCCAGGATGCCCTCCATGTAGTCCTCGTGGGTGAGCTCCGTAGCACCCCTGCGCAGTGCGATCATGCCCTGCACCCAGGACAGGCAGGCTCTAGGTGTGCCCGGGGGGGTCCCGGCCTTCTCAGCCTCCTCCCCTCAGGAGTCTCCACTGGCCAAACAGCCCTGCCCTGTCCAGGGGAGGGAGCGTGGCGCACCCACCCACCACCTCACCCCACCACTCACCGCCTCCACACACACAGCCTTGCACTGGGCCCCGTTGAAGTCATCCGTACAGCGGGCCAGTTCCTCATAGTTCACGTCAGGACTGAGGGAGGACAAATGCCACAGCACTGTTACTTGTGGGACAGGGTTGGGGGAGCAGATGTGCTCCCACATGGCCCCTTCAAGTCAGCTCGCCCTGTGACTGCAGCCAAGTCCCTTCCCCACTGTGCCTTGTTACCTTCCTGGTACAAGCTGAGGGGAGGGAGGGGGCAGCCAGGTTATTTTTGTCTCAAGCTCTAGCCTTCTAGAAACGTGTACCTGAGACCCCAGGGGCTGATGCAGGCCGAGACGGGGAGCAGGAGGGCGTGGAGAGGAGGGTGGCCGTCCGCCCCCGGCTAGGTAACGCCGGCCCTGTGTCAGCACGCTGCCGCCACTTAATGGTCTCGCGTGCCAAGCACTGTGCTTGATGGTGCCATAACCCCATGAGGTCGGGGCCGCTATCCCCAAGTACCAGATGAGAAGGTGGAGACCTGGAGGTCATGCTGCCTGTTAAAGGCCCCACAGATCTGACCCCAGGTCCACCTGGCCCCTGGCTGGTTCCCCAGGACCACGCTGGGCTGTGCCCATCCACTGGGGTCAGGGAGGCCGGGAAACTGAGGGCCTCTGGCCTGCAGACCTTCCAATCACGGGGAAGGAGAGGAGCAGCCAGAATTAAGGTCTGGGCCTTAACAAGACTCTTCCTCAGGCACCTGGGGAGAAATGGAGGTGGTTGTGTAGAAGTGTCTGCTGAGTGTGAATGGGCTGTGCAAAGGGGATGGGCAGGGGCCTGGGGAAGCTCAAAACAGACCTTAATTTTGATTACAAAACAGGGCTCCTGTGCTGCCGCCCCTTCAGGGCTCAGCGCCCCGCTCTCGGTGTCCTTGCTCACCTGACATTCATTTTCCGGGAATGGATCTGCATGATTCTGGCCCGGGCCTCCTCATTGGGCATCGGGAACTCAATCTTTCGGTCCAGACGGCCTGAGCGGAGCAGGGCAGGGTCCAGGATGTCCACCCTGTTCGTGGCTGCGATTACCTGAGCAAACGAAGCAGCAGCAACTTGTATTGAGGAGAAAGGGGTTCACAGACAGGCAACAGTCACGGCCACAAGAGGCAGAAAGATAGTCCAGGGTCCAGGTGAAAGGGCAGGGGGTGTTCAAGACAGACCTGTTCTACTGGGTTGGCCAAAAAGTTCGTCTGTTTTTTTCTGTAAGATGGCTCCAGTAGCATTTAGTTGTCTTTAACTTCATTCGAAGCAATTTCATTACACTGTATTGTGACAGCTGTCATGTCAGCATGCATTTTAAAAATACTTATCAAAATTGGTGAATTTTTGTGTAGCCATTTTAATACTGAAGATGGAAGAAAATAAGCAACATTTTCGGCATATTATGCTTTATTATTTCAAGAAAGGTAAAAACGCAAAACAAACAAAAAAAAGATTTGTGCAATGTATGGAGAAGGGGCTATGACTGATCGAATATGTCAAAAGTGATTTGCAAAGTTTCATGCTGGAGATTTCTCACTGAACGATACTCCATGGTCAGGTAGACCAGTTGAAGTTGACAGCGATCAAATCGAGGCATTAATTGAGAACAGTCAACATTATACCACATGGGAGAGATAGCAGACTACTCCAAATACCCAAATCAATAGTTATTGGTAAAAATGAAACACATGCCTTTTACAGAAAAAACTGTACCAACTTTTTGGCCAACCCAGCAGCTGTTAATAGCGAGGTGACCGAGAAGGTACCCTACCTCTAAGGCCCACATTCCTCATCTTTAACAATACCTCGCCTTCAACAGTACTCACCTTTACTTGGGTGTTGGGCTGGAACCCGTCCAGCTGGTTCAGAAGCTCCAGCATTGTCCTCTGTACCTCCCGGTCCCCAGCCTTCTCACTGTCAAAGCTGAGAGACACGGGAGGCCCAAGACGCTGGTGAGGCCACTGCTTGGGAAGAGACCTCCCTTCTCCCTCCACCCAGCAGAAGCCTAACCTGCCTGTCCAGGGTAGGGAAATGTCTCGCTAAACCTGGGGCCCCCAGCCCAGAAACCAGCACAGAAAAGGTGAAACTGCTGACTGCTGGGGTCCAGGGCTGAGCTGAGGATAAAGCGTGAGCAAAACCACCCACTGCCTGGATGAGCGCGCCCTTGCAAACTGCTCTAAGCTTAGAAATACAGCCAGCCAGGCCAGGCTTGGAGTGAAGTGTCCTTCAGCTGAGATCTGAAGGCTGAAAACACATCGGCTGGGCAACCAATCATTGGAGGAGAGGGAAGAAAGAAAACACATTCCAGAGAGGAAACAACAGGTACAAAATCTCTCCCACCACAGAGCCA